TAGTTGAATAGGCAGTTCCTTGTGCTCATTCAATAGAAGAGAAGGCATACCAGACAAATAACCAAAGAAATTTGGTCATACTGCGCACTAGAACTGGGATTAATAATAGGAACTTAAAGTGGGGCAATTATACGAGTATGTATAAACTAGCCCAGACCATTAACTTTGCACCTGCTGCAATTCCCTAAGTTCTCCCATCAAATTTCATACTTTTAGTGTAATACTATCAGAATTAAGATTCTCTTCCCATTTCAGATTTTTTATAATTACACATTAAGCACATTTAAAATTTTTGGGATTTGGGCAGTGAAAGTGTTTATAACTTATGAACACTAACAAAATTTACCTTACAAACTATAAACAAATGGAACTGCTAATTTAAATTAAACTTTAGCACTACTAACTTCAGTCAAAGTCAAAAGATCAACTTAACATCAAAATGATTACAAACCAAAATTACCAAGTTGTGGCCCAATACACTGCAACAGCACCCACTATTTAAATTTGCATAATTATAAGTGATGGATAAATGTGCACTTTTTAGTAATTTTAGAGTATACATAGTATAGCAACAACTGTAGATTAAAAGAATACAAACAAGTAATACCAATGCAGTAAATACTTTATGTAATACATTAATACATGCAAGTTTTATTAGGCTTCAAATTCAAGTTCCAACTTCACAAAAGTTTATATAGAAAATTATGTGGAATCTAACCTAGAATAACAAGTCAACCATTATATTGCATTCCTGAGAGAGAACTAACCCACTAGGATTTACACAGTGTCTGGGAAAATAGGAGGCAATCCAGTTCAAGCCAAGGAAGGAGAGGTCATGTCCAATTCTTTGTATCAGAAAACCCTCCCTCGCCAGCATCAAGGAACCTCCCTCAAGGTATCTAACAGTTAAATGTAACTCATTTCCAATGAGAGAACATCCAGAAAAATAGTGCACTAACATTATATTATACAACTGTAAACAGAATGACTGTCACAAATAGCCAAGATTTAAATTTAATGTTTTTATTTCCAACAGTGTGTGCCATTACCATCAAGGTGCACTGAAGCAGTGAGGGAGGCCTGGCATCACTGCTTTGGCATAAACGTACTAGTCATCAGTCTCTCGATACATACAATACTGTCTGTGGTTATCCGCTCCATATTTGTTCGTATCACCTTGTTTTGTTTCTGGATATTAACCCTTTGAGGGTTTTCGTCGTACTAGTACGTCTTACGCGTAGGGGTTTTTGACGTACTAGTACTCATAAATTCTAGCGGCCTCAATCTAGTGGGAGAAAGCTGGTAAGCCTTCATATGAAAGAATGGGTCTATGTGGTCAGTGTGCACAGTCTAAAAAAAATCCTGCAGCACACAGTGCATAATGAGAAAAAAATAACTTTGACCATTTTTTTTTAATAAATCAGCGACTTTGCAGTGTATTTTCGTATGGTATTTATTGTTGTATTCTAGTTTTCTTGGTCTCATTTTATAGAATGGAAGACATATTACAGAAATTGAGATGATTTTGACTGGTTTTACAATGAAAGGTGCCTTGAAATTGAGCTCAAAGTAGCAGAAATGTTCGATTTTTACCAAACTTCAAAAGTAAACAAATCGTGCCAATCGTGCAATACACGTCAACTGGTGAGTCTAATATTCTTTTACAAGTGCACCAATAATATTTATACCATTTTTACACTAATGCAGTAGTCTGCATAACAGTAAATCTTATATTTTTTGTGAAAATAAAAATTCAAAGTGGAAAGCAAAAGAATATAAGAGGGGCCTTGAGACATGACTAATGACTAGAGGAAATGTCATTTTAGTGCCAGGAATGTCTATCTTGTTTATTCTGGACCCTATTCGGAAATTGGCATCTTTTGAAATTTGTGTGAAATTGGCAAAATTGCTAAATTCTGACCACTGTACTGGATAGTTGAATTTATAAATGGGTGGTTTCTTGCACCCATTCGATAGAAAAAATGGAGTTCTAGAGAAATATTCATGTTTTTTGTCGACTAGTACAGTGAAATTGGCCGAAAATGGGGCTCAAAGTGGGCAAAATCGCCGATGCGTAAACATCGCCGAGACCGCTAACTTTGCGAGAGCATAATTCCGTAAGTTTTCTATCAAATTTCAAACTTTTGGTGTCTTTATGATCGGGAAAAGATTCTCTATCTTTTCATAAGAGAAAATAATTTTTTTTTTTTTTTAAATTTGACCGACCCTGAGAACGAGTTTCGGAGAGGCCCTGTCGACCCTCAAAGGGTTAATCAAGACACCCTAAAGTAATAAAAGTGATGCTGAGGTGCCAAGTAGACAATTAAGCATGAAACTACAATTTCTAAGAAAATTGTAGTTAAGAGGTGGGTAGTGGAAGTGGTTATGGCTGGCAGGTTACTCATATGACTAACATAAATTACATTAATTAAACATCCTAAGATAAGATTTTGTTTGGATTTTTAACCCAGAAAGTTAGCCACCCATGATAACCCAAAAAAGGCAGCGAGGCATCAAGGACTGTCTTATTTCCATTGGGGCCCTCAAACTTTTTCCCCAGAATGCGACCCACACCAGCTGACTAACACCCAGGTGCCAACTTACTTGCTAGGTCAATGGAACAGGTAAGGAAATGCAACCAAAATTTCCACCCTTTGCCAGGGATCGAACCACGGACACACTGTGTGAAGCAACAGCGTTGCCTACCAGGCCTTAAACAGTCTTTTTACCTATGCCAGTTACATTTATATAATTGTTGAATATGTTGGTGACATATAATGAAGTGTAAAAATGTTAATAAAAGAAAATGTATAGTGTTTATGATGCAGAGAAGATAAAGGCCATAGTCAGCCATTTTGTGCAATAAGGGCAAAGTCAACTACATCTACACACCTCTAGCTACAAGGACAAGGAGCAAGGAATAGATAAAACTGACATTTTATACCCTATTTCCAAATAAGAATGTATGCAACAAAATTACTGCATAATGATGCAAATGCCTTCCAAATCTAAAGTTCCCAAACTCGAATCTATTGCTCTAAGTTGGATATTTTCAGCACTATTTATATCCCTTTATGTATTCTAGCTTTCTATTTGTATATTTTGTTCATGCACCTAACGTCAGCTCCCAACCAAATGGGCTGTGGCTCATACATCTGTTTGCGTGCGGCCAGCTGCAACAGCCTTGCTGGTCAGGCCCTGATCCACCATGAGGCCTGATCATGGACTGGGCTGTGGGGGTACTGACCCCTGAAACACCCCCAGGTGTATGCCAGGTATATGTCCCTTAATTTTACACATTTCCAAGAGTGCAAATGCATCATCCTTCTCTCTATGCTTTCCTGTGTATTTATGTTCATTCTGTGATATTAGGACCAGAAATGAAGAGCACAGTCTAAACAAGGCCTTATTAAGGATATGTAAAGCCGAAGTATACTTTGAGAACTTCTATTATGTATTTATGCTCTTGATATGAACTCTATTAGCTTAATTGTGAAAAATCTATGAACAGTTCTTTTGGTTTTAAATTACTGGTAACCACAACTCTTAAAACTTTTTTGCATTCAGTCTGAGATCTACACTGTATAGTTAATAGGTGCCATAGTTTTCTTTACCCAGGACTAGAGCCTTATATTTTTAACACATTGGCCATCACTGAGCTAACTTGAGTTGCATTCAAGTGGGCCTATCTTTTTTTTCCAATCTGTTACAGTAAACATTATTTATCGAGATGGTGGCAAATGTTGTTTGTTGTGGTGCTGAGACTGCTGGTTGCAGCCTCACCACCACAGCACTATCTTCCGCCACTTCCTAGATGCAAAGTCATGTGCTTTGGCCCTAACAGTTATGAGTATATTATTATATATCTACATCAATTTCAGACTTTTTTCTCAAAAAATAATGCAGAGGTGAGACCTAGGTATAAAGTGCAGAATTGCACATATTCACCCAATAAATCCATCAATGGCAAAATCCACCTAATATTGGACTTTATTCAACTCAAACAAGGATCTGGTCTCTAATAACTTTTTATTATTCAGCTATAACTGATATTCCTTGGTGGAACTCTTTACTATTTTACGATTCATACAAGCTAGCTGCATCATGGAACAAACAGCTATTTCTTGGGCAAATTACTTTGAGATAGCAAAAAAATTACCACACGTGGCAAATCAAGAGCCAATCAATGTTTCATGTTGTGGCCTGGAAAAATCAAAGATTCCACAGATGCAAATAAAAATTGACATTGGGTTATTTTACCTTAGGAGAGTTTGTTAAGTATGGCTACATTTCTTACCATTTGCAGAAGATATCGCTTATATAAAACCCACGCGTGGTACAATTTTGGCTATATTTTATTGCCGAAATTAGCAGATGAAGAACCAAACCATACCACGGGCGGGATTTGAACCCGCGGTCAGAGTCTCAAAACTCCAGACTGTCGCGTTAGCCACTGGACCAGCTAGCCACAATAAGATTCGTCCAACTAGGTATTTTTTACACCATAGGAAGGTTAGCATAGGCGACGGTCTGGAGTTTTGAGACTCTCTGACCGCGGGTTCAAATCCCGCCCGTGGTATGGTTTGTTTGCAATCGTGTCATTACGATTTCGTGAGTCATGATGAAGAACCATTATTACCAGTAGTACTTATTCCTAGCATGAACATACCTACTGAAATACTCCTTGGTTCTGATGTTACCTAAGTGTTCAAAGCACTGTAAGACTTATTATGGTTTAGTGCCGCCTATTTTGACTATAATAATAGTTACAAGTGTATCAAGTAACTAAGTGCGAGTTTTCACGATGTTGGTGGGTGACAAGAGGGTGCCTTCTCTAGGGTCACCCAACATGCTTGGTTTACGGGCTATTTCTGCTGGTTCAGCAGTGAATGTGGAAGGTCATCTTTCACCTGATTACCTCCAGGGATGATAGTGTCCTCCCTGGAGGTCCTGACCCCAGAGCAGCTGCTGGTGGAGCTGGCACACGCTGGCTGGCTCACCTTAATGTCATCCTCCTCGTCCTCCCCATCCCACTTGTCTGTGGGCAGTGCTGGAGCCACCTTGGGGGGCTCGAAGTCGTCAGCATCTGCAAATTAACATTTATGTGTGAATGTCACCTTCCACATGGAAGGAAAGTTTGAAGGAGACGAGACTTAAAAACTTTGTCAAAATCGCATTCTCAATTCCAATTACTTTTGAATCGGTCCAGAAAGTATATTCTGATTTGTACTTGTCACTCTGGGTACACAACACAACTCTTCACCTCCACAAGCACATTTACTCTTTGAAGCGCAATTTAAGGGAAAAAAGTTAATGGAAATCTGGGCAACTCACCCCACTCTACGTCGGACATGTTGACGATCTGCTGCTCCCACAATGCCTCACTCACACCCCGCCACCCTACCCTACACAACACTTTCTAATTCTTCTATATATCTTCCTATTTATCACTTTATAATACACTATAATATCCCCATTAAATGCTCTTCGTTTTTTCAGCAGATGTGCGACAAGCACTTGATAATTCACATGGGGTCACTATATCCTTGTCTTTGGTAGCATAAAAAAAATCGCCAAAAATATCACTAATCACGTATATAATCTGGCTATATAACTATGCATTTACATCACAATTATTAATTAAAATTAAAAACCCTTCTACAATGGCGAAATGCCTCTGGTTTCTGCTTATAAACAAAGAAATTTCGCTACTAGTATGCATTTTCTGAATAAACGTTTAAA